GTTATTTGCCACGAGACTTGGGGCTCCTCAGTCTCACATATGTTCTCGTCATTCTCTAAATTGTACCCGGCAGCTTCATTTGCTTCCAGCTCCAGAACCTGGAGGCGTAACCAATTGAAACGAAATGAGATTTTTTCACAAGGTTAAAAAGAATAATATATGCATGTGTGCATGTTTTGTTTAGATAGTAGAAAGAATGTATTTTCATACCTGGCAAACTAGTAGCTGCTTTTGGTACTGCAGTTTGGCCACCCGCTCTTTCAGTTCCGTTACATATGTTCTAATGTTTCTTACGTTCTCTTCTGCTGCATTTTGGAACATCTTCTGCATTTTCTTCATGTTTACTGAACTAGAACGCCGATACCCTGTTGGAGTGCTCTCCTTTGATGAGACATCTCCACATTCTTCATTCTTTGTCGGAGTCCTCTTCTCAGACTCTGGTTGAATCTCGCCGGACATAATATCATCATTCTCAGGAGCCCTATTTTCGGTTTCAGATTCTGCAATTTGCCGAGAAGCTGATAGAGGTGAGCAAGGTGATCTGATGAAATTTTGCCGGTTGGCAATGTTGCTTGAGGCCAAAGGTAGACACTTCTTCTTTTTAGACTCTTTCTTAGACTTGAGGGATGCCTCGATATTGCACTCTTGTTGATTGCCAGGAAGAGACATCACCAATTTATCTATTGACTTCTGAACACTTTCTAGCTGTTCCTCGAGATTTGCAATCGTGCTGCCTTGTGAATGAAGTCTCGTAATCTCTTCCTTGAGATTAGCACTTACACTCTTGTTAGTAGCAACAACAGTTCCAAACTCAACTTCTTTTGGCACTGATCTGACAAAACGCATTTCTCTTATTTCCGCTTGAAGATTGGCAATTGTTTCAGCTGCATCTTGGTTGCCTAGCCTATGACAGGCCACCTCTTTTTGTAATACTTCCAGAGCTCGATTTGCTTCTTCCCCTAGCTGTTCTTGCAGGTGTTCAAGTTTTCGGATTTCATGCATTAGTGTGAAAGGAGCAGTTGATGATTGCCTCATAGACTGCCTCAAATTTCTTGCTCTATCACCAGGGCCTATCTCCTTTTTGTCCGGTTTTGTTGATAGAACACCGGTGTATGAGAGACATTTCTTCACAGAGGGATGGGGTATTTCCGAAGGGTTTGAACCCTGAAGTTGGTATATAAAAAGTATTTATAAGCTAAGCGAATAACAAATTCATATATGGAGAGAGAGAGAGAGAGAGAGAGAGAGAGAGATAGAGATATAGACCTGTGGATCCTCCTCAAGTTTTTGCTGTAATTCAAGCACTTGAGATTTAGCACGATCTCTTTCGCGTTTCAGTTCTTCAATCTCCATTTCCATCTAGTGATGACCAAAAGCATTTTATATATACATTCCAAGCACATGAAACGAAATATCTAGCAAGACAAGTATGTCAGTTTACCTGCTGAATTTTCAAGTCTTTTTCCCTTGACGGGTCAGGCGTGCGCAGCTCTGCTTCCAGCCTTGCTACTTCCTTCTGCAAATGTTTCACTAGCTGTTTGTCCGAAACAACCTAGCAAAAAGAATTTTCTACATAAATAAGGGTACTAAAATGTATATTGTAAATAAGCGGAGATGCAAACTGAAAAATATTACAAGAAAATTAACGATACCATATTCACACGAGCATTATTTGTTACTTCCTTTGCCCTAGTGGCAAAGAAGAGCGTATTGCGAGATTGTTCAAAATGGCTCAATGCCGGACTCAAGGTGCATATGATGGCAGTGCGTGCATTCCCACCGAGAGAATGCTGCAATATGCGAGTGAGCTTTGAGTTTCTATAGGGTATATGACCACTTTTTTTCCCGCCGCTGCAAATCAAACCAGTTCATATAGGTAAGAAAGACAACTCACTATAATCTTTCACACAACGAAAATGTATGCAAATGTAGATTCTTACCTAAGCTTTCTAATGACAGTTGTAAGTGTCATCAAGCTAAGGTTGATGTGGCAACCTTCCCGGAGCCTAGCACCATCTGCATGTGTTTGTGAAGCTCTTTCGCTTCCAGCCAGGTCGACAAAGTTCTGCACATCATCGACATTCACACTTGTTAACCAAGAAGTAATAATTGACACAAGGAATTTCAGAAAACGTAACTTGTTCCATTTAGTTCCTTACCAGGCTTGCCACAAAAGATCTCACGCAGTCTGAATTCTCACGCAGCGTACTTTCAATTGTCTACAAGGAGAGAATATGTTATTTACAATGTCTCGATTGTTAGGAGAAGGAAAAAGCTTCGTTAACTAGCGTCAAAGATCGATGATGAATAAACTGACCAGCCTTATTATCTGATGAGACCGGGAGCTGTTATCATTCAAAGCAGTTTCACCAACTTGTCTTTGGGCTTCACAAATGCTGATTAAATGTCTCAAATGCTGATCATTGCTTGCAGTTTCCTCCACCAGTTTCTCAACCACGGTACCTTTCTACATTAGGGGAATCCAGAACATGAGTCAATGTCAAAGAACAAGTAACGTAATGAGCATACGCGAAGGCTTATTACGAAAGTACCTCTGGATCATCTAGAAGCTTCAAACTACGACCCGATTCTGAATTTAGGAGGTCCTTCACATTCTCATTGTATATTTCTAGTCCAGAAATTTTTATTGTAAAGTCTCTCTCCGGAGTCTGCAAAACAATCCGAGCACATTAGTTTCAAAGCTATAATCTTCACCATAACTTTCGGAATTGTTGTTAGTTCGCGATGATTAGGTTTACATTGATTATATGGTTGTAGATATCAATGACAGCTTTCTCTGTTATCCCTCTCATTGTGTATGTCTTCCCACTGCTCGTTTGCCCGTAAGCGAATATAGTTGCTGCAGTGCCAAAGAACATCAATCAATTGTTCAAAAGCGAGATGAGGATCGAAAAAGGAAGAAAAGACATGAATCTAAGGATAAACCACTACCATTGATGCCCATCAACGAAGACAATGCCACATTTTTCACTCCTTCCTCGTATACCGATTCCGTTAAGGAACTAGGACTGAAAACTTTATCTGCAAACAGAAGAAACCAGTGAACCAATTATCTGATGTGAATCATTACAGATGAGAAAATTACAAAGAAGACACATAGGCAGGGGTTTTTCCATACCAAATGTGAATGGGACCGGTTGAGCTGAGCGTTCTTGAGGCGGGGGCTTGTACACAATCGTGTTGTCATCGAGGCATTCCCACGCAACTTGGTCCTTTGATAGTTGCTCTCTTTTGTTTAGAGGCCTTAAACGCACCGTGACAACGATCTTCTCCTCCTTAGTTCTTGGCCCACCTGGAGTTGAGACTACTGTCCTGTCTATTTTTGAAGCCGGTGTTGATGCCGGTGTCCTGTCTATTTTTGAAGTTGGTGTTCCAGGAGTTTTGACAGTCATTGTGCCTCGAATATACCGGATTAAACGAGCTTGAAGAACAAAACACCAACACCGAATATCGGGCCTTTCCCAGTAAAGGTTATAGCCTTTCTGCTAAAAACAATCTTGGAATTAGTCTGACGGTAGAAACCAAACAATCTTGGATCCAAAACATTTCAGATCATAAAAATTTGACAATTTCCCATGACCCTCTCACTAATTGAAACATTTATCCCTAAAATCTTCAAACTTTAAATCTAAACTTATGATAAGCAAGCAGACGTTGGCGTAGTTGCCACATTGGCTAGAGCGGATGTGCTCCCTACATGTCCAAAGGTTGAATTCTCCTCCAACCACTTATTAGTTTATAATTAGTAACCATGTTAGAAATCAATTTCTTTCCAAATAAGATTGAATCCATCAAATTCCACTGGTTTTAAGCATCATATATAAGGAAAGCGAAAATCTGTACAGATCAGTTTTAAAAGAAACAGAGGAAACTCACAGAAATAGAAAGCCGGATTCGACCCGGAAACTCCCAGAAATCTTCAGCGCACAAGAGGAATTGAGGGATGAAGGGAGCGTTTGAGTTTGAGGAGAATCACTCCGAAGTCGGATTCGAATTCGAATGCTTGAAGAAGAAAGAAGAAGAAGAAGAAGAAGAAGAAGAAGAAGAAGAAGGAGAAGGAAAGGGAATGATGACAAGTTATTGGCTCATTGTTTATTGGCCTTGTTATTCAATTTTGAATCTAGGGCTCCAACGGCTAGTTTTTTTCCTTTTTCTTTTTGTCAATTTTGTTGGCTTATTTAATTGAGAATTTTAAGGTTACACGCCGACCTTTGCATGCGTTTTCGTTTTCGCGAGTTAAAACGGCAGCGTCGTGTGAAGCGGGACCCAGTTTCAAATCCTAACGGTTCCCTTCCACAAAAGGACAAAAAGAAAGGAAGAGTTTCAATTATTAGTCCAGCCTGGCTCTTCAAACATAACTTTTGTGTGTGGGGTATTGTTTCTGTGTTATAATTAAAAAATATGTACAAATTTATCTTAAATTCTTGCTTGTATAATTTTTACGATGTTGTTCTTAAATTCAGATAAAGAAAAAGGTGAAAGACGTCAATTAGTCGACAATCGAAATTTTACTTTTCGTATCGGGTTTTTATGTATTAATTTCTCTCAGTATGTCTTGTATTACTGACGACACCAACGTAACGACATACTGTGCTATAGTTGTTATGAGATACTCGGTACCAAAATCACATGAGTACATCTCAAAAGGAAGAAGAATTTCCATGGCAGATATATACTGTTATTTACAGGTGGGCGAAAGCCCAGTCTAACTGTTTGAAGTGGTCGATTCAAACCAGTCCGATCATTTTGATATGTCTGAACAAAAAATTTGAAAGTTATCCTTCAAATTATGTCTAAATTTTGAGGTTGGTGAGTTATTCAATCTGATCTAATCTTCAGCACCAAAGACCCAAAGGTATTTGAATGTCGAAGTTCTCGACACCCAACAAAGGATTTTTTGCTTGTTTTCTAATTTGAGAGTTTGTGTTCAACAGAATCTCATGACTTCGCAAAACCGATTTGTAATGACTAAACATAAATATATAAAGTTGTTATTGACACTCTAAAAAGACTTGTCAAACCGATTATATAACTATATAATATTTTACAATGGGTTCTCTCATACACCGCTAACATTTTTTCATCACTAGTCTTTTTTGACCTTATTCTCCTGCCTCCCATGGCTTGCATTTTTCATTTCACTGTTTTCAACCTTTTGTCACACGATAGAATAATTTACATTAAACAATGGGAGGAGGATTCAAACACGGAACCTCGGATACGAGGACGGATGCTCTAAACCAATTGAGTTATAAGCCGCTTGACACTGTTCCCACTTCTTACTTTTCTTATTTTCTATCTTAATTTTGTAACTTACCACTTTCTCTTCCGTTTTTTGCTTTTAAAACAAAGGGTTCACATTCCAGCATCCTCCATTTACGTCAATCATGAAGCTTAATTTCAAGGCTTGTAACTTGTGGAGTGGAAGCTAAGACACTTCCATCAGCGAAACAAGATTGATTTCACCTGCAGTGCATGCCGTGCGAAGCAAAGAACTGGAAATCGGGGTGATTGACCTGGAGCAGGCTAAGCCAACTGTCTGCGGCCTGCATCAGGGAACTCACCAGTTGACACTCCGTCACTCCATTTTGTGTCCACAGGGATCCTTTTAACTTGTAGGATGCCAGTCCAAAAACAGGTAAGGAAATCCTTGGGACACCATCCATCTCACTGGGATAGATCATCACTGGAGCCGGGCTATTTCCAGTACCTGAACACGAAAAGAAACAAAAAATCTTACGACATCAACTGGCAAGACAAAATAAATGACCCAGTAGATTGAATCATTTGCTTAAGAAAAGTTATAATAGCGTTTCACATTATCGTTTTAGGATCTATTGTTGTTGCTAAACGTAAACCAGTGAATGAACATAGAAGAGCTGACTCCCGCCATTGAATCTCTACGATCAAAATCCTCGTAGGCATTATAATGGTGAAAGATGTTAACTTATCCAGAATCCTTCCCCTTCGCGCACGTCACCACTTCTGTCTATCTCCCTCTCCCTCCCTCCCCTTCCTTTGTGCAAGCAGATAGTGCAAAACTCAAGTAGCCAGAACACTCCTTCACCACCTAAGTTTATGCGTGTTGCTCTTAGGAAACAACCAAGGATAAAGATTATAGAGGCCCGAGACTAACCATAGAAAGGAAAATACCCTATCATATAAAAATGCTGGGAAAAAAAAAAAACCACAATAATACCACAATACCAATTAGTAAAAGGTCATTGTTACCTGTCATGGATGTTGAAAGTGAATGATATGTCAAAAAGCAAGCATCTAAATCTTTCAATGTTGGACCCGTAGGTATTCGATATATGGGATACCTACAAAATCAACCAGATAATATGAATCTTGGTTCGTACGAGAATATTTATAATAGTACACATCATATTTTTCTTACCAAGCGACTGACATCCAACTTCCTGGCAGTAAGTCACAGCTTCTTAATGTCTTTAACCCAGGGTACTGGTGTGCAAGACCTGATATCTGTTAACAATCGCAATAATTAATCAGAAAAAAAGGCAGCTAATGCAGAGCAAAGACCACAAAGTACTGAAATCTACTGCAGTAAGAAAATAAACTAGCCTTGTCAGCCAATGGTTCACGGCCATATGGAGCATCCTGCTCAAGAAACTCAAAAAGCAGGACACCTCGAGAATTCCCAGCTTCTCCATCATCACTAGAAAAGCCTTCTTGTAATACACGGTGTTCACCATGTATGGACAAACTGCCCATTCTAGTAGGTATGTCCCTGCTTAGATGGTGAAGAATCCCCTGCTCCTTTGCAACCTTTATGTGTTTCTCAAATTCATAATCACTGCTCGCATCACTACTCGAATCTAAATAGTTGTCGACATCATAGTCCTCACCCACTTGCCTAACCAAACGGGAAACATCAAAATGTAAGTCACATGCCATGATGCCAATTAGCCTTATAACACACTAGAATCTCTATTATCAACAATCGCACAGTGCTACATATGACAAAAGTTCATGAGAAGGAACACATAAGAAAATGGACAGACAAGAAGAAGGCCTTTACATGTCAGAGGAAGACTGGCAAAAATTTGTAGACTTGTGTATTATATAGAAATGAAACTGAACTTAATCAAGACATAATTTTACTAGCACTGAATCATTATCTATCACAGTGTGGAACCAAAACTTTACAAAACAAATTGATCAACTAAGCACTGAAGATATGAAGGTACAAAGTGATAAATTTCCCATCAGAGACCATTTGACAGTGACCTCCACATCTACGTAGATAGTACTACCTTATCGAAGAGAAAGATTGCAATCAGCATATACATTGTATGATTACATTCCCTGAAAACCATTAGTACTAGTCATGGATGTCTGCAATAGATCATTATACATATTCCTGTAATTTAACCAACATTGTGAACATAACATCATTTACAGTACCATTTCATGTAACTGATAATCGTTGTAAACAAACATATAACAAAGAAAGATTACAGAGTCACATAACTCTGGTGTTCTAAGTGTATGAAACTATGAATCCAAACAGAAAGCTTTATTACCTTGACTTTGCTTTTGACTTCACAGAAGATTCCCCATATAATTGGATACCAGATAAATACGGAACATAGTATTGAATAACAGAATCACAATTGTTAAGGACCAATGGTACTCCTGCCCCATATGCACTCCACTCCCTGAACGATTCCCATAGATCATTCAGTGTGAAGTAAGGCTCAAACTCAACATCACAAGTCCTCCGCCCCCTCATTGTTGTCTGCACCAAAACAAAAACCACAATGTTCAAAGTTAACACTTTTCAGAGGATTTCCCAAGTCATTAACGCCTCGTTCAAATCGCAAAACAATGAAAACCAAAAGTAATAGAACTCTGGCATTATTCTTATATTGGTTTTGCACCTAAAGATGGAATTTCTCGTGTCAATTTCGAGCTTCAGAAATAATTGTACTAGTTATTTCTCAAGTCTTGAGTTGCAAAACTCCAACATCGAAAAGTCTAGTTTTCTACACTTTCTCCTGCATTTTCTCAGCAGCAAAAATGCAGTCTGAGTAACAATAACATAAACATGGTCAACACGTTTGCTTAAGCCTATTATTTTCTCAAATATAAGATTACCCAATAACAGAAACTCAGTTTTCTACACATTTTTGACAATTTTTCGAGCATCCAAAACAAAGCTAAACAGATAAACATGGAGAAATGATCAACCTTTGAGAAATACTGAGCAGGAACAGAGGGAGTGGTGAACTCCAAGAGCCTGTCCAGATTGCTAGTCGGTGTCAGAGACCGCTCGAAAGAGGGCTTTTCCGATGAATTCTGATGCTCTTTGGGGCTCTCATTGGCATCGTTCTTGCTGGCTCTCCGAGCTTGCTTCTGCTGATTGTTGCATCTCTTCCTTGCTTTCACAGGAATGTAAAACCTGTCCTCCCCACGAACATTCCCGAACTGCAACCTGCTTCCCAACATTTCCCACAGCTCAAAAATAAAACTTTCTCGCCTCCGTTTGATTGCTGAGAAAACGGAGGAAAATGGAAAGGAAAAGCCGAAACCTTCCAATATGTTCTGCTTTTTTACGAAAAACCCAACTCGACCGAGACGAAAACAAATGAAAAGAAGGTGGTGTTGGTTCTTTAGCTTATCAAAAGTCCCAAATTAGTACCAGAAAAGGAATGTCTAAGATGCTGCGATTTATAAAGGGAAGCGATCGTTTTCCTGCGGTTTCTCGGTAACCAAACACAGCAGAGAAAACCCAAATTCTATCTTCAAAATCCCAAAACTTAAAAAATGGATTGTATTGCAAATTTGGAAGTGATCAGATCAAATCAGCTTCGGAAAGCCCCGAAAATTTGTATTTTTTGAAGAAAAAATGGGAAAATTTGATCGTAAAGCTTGAAATCCAGAAGTAATAACAAAGCGGATTGAAGCAATCGAACGGGTTTTGTGTGAAGGAAGAAATGAAGCGCGGAGGAAAGCACAGGGGAGAGGGGAAGCTCGAACCAGAGTGTGTTATAAATGAAGACGAAGATAAAAAATAAAAAGTAATAATAATTTCTTAATTTAATTTAATAAATTATTAGCTATAATACGAGGGTGTATTTTTGTACTTTTGCTCACCCTCCTTTAGTAGTATTACTGTATTAGTACTCACCATTTTACTCATTATTATCGGATAAGTTTAAATTTTGAAATTCGTTTTATCTATACGAAATTGATGTCAAAATTAAACTTATATAACGATGATAAATAAAATAAAAAAATGTCGCTATAACTTGAAAAAGATAAGCAAAAATATTTCAATAATAGAAAGAATACAAAGGGCTAGTTCTGGATTAGAAATTAAGAATTGCGGTTGCTCTTATAGAAAGTTTTGAGGAGTGAAATATCTAAAAAGCCCCTCTTTGTAGACCCCTTTGCCAATATCTACACCATTTCAATACATTATCTACTGCATCTCAATATTCTCGATATCGTAAATGATTGTTTACTATAGTGATGGAAAGAAGTTGAGCTCTTACAAGATGACATATGTTTAAATTCCGTCGTGATTAATTTAACAAAAATCTATTTTTTGACAAAAAAATGAATATATTGTCGATATCGTAACAATATTTTTACTACAATATTGTTAAATTACGCTTGCTGTATAAACATGGGTAATTTAGACATTTTCAATCCTTTTATTCCTATCTTTCATGTCATTCATATCATTCTTTCTATTTGAGCAACCTAAGTTTAAAATTATTCTATCATAGCCAATTTCCTTAATTATTTTGTGGGGGTGATAAATGAAATAATAAAAAATTTTGGGGAAGAAAATATGGCGCTAGTTGGGCGGAAGGCATACATTTTTTTTTTTATCATTTTATTATATAGTATTTACCTAAGTGTTTATTTACTTTTGTCATTTAATACTACGGTCTAATGATATTCATCTTTACTTGTAAGTTAAAGGTCTTAGGTTAGATTCTCGGCAAAGACGAATTTGAACCACATTATTGCTAGCCCATTGTGACGCTAAGTCCACCCTCTCCCCCCTAGTGTAGATAATATCGTTTGTTCAAAAAAAAAAAAAAAAAAAACTAAGTACTTACTTATACTTAAAAAAATATATAATTGTCTTGGGATACATAAATTAAAAAATAGAATCATATATAAATTATAAAGTACTATAAAATATTGAAAATATAGGGAACAAGCATATAAATTAGTATAAGCATGCAACAAATCTCTTATAATTGATTGGACAAAAAAATGTAAATAGAAATTATATATTTTGTCTAAACGAGAATTGCGACTTAAGCCATTTTCTTAAATGAAAACAAATAAAGCAAAAAAAGTCACAAAACTAACAAGCTTGCCTAGACTATCTAGACAGGCTGGCAGGTATCTAGACAAGATGGACGAGCGCCTAGGCAGGTTTAGGTGGAATAGACGGGCGCCTAGGAAAGCCAAGATGCTATTTCTTATTTTTCAAACATCTAAAAATTTATTAGTGCAGTGGCTAGCCACCTAAATATTGTAAATGCATAGAAAATTAGAAACGCATACATAGAAAGTTAGAAACTCATCTTCAATTGTTGCAAAGAAATTACGTATTCATATCAAATTATTCATAAGATCATATACACAAATTGATAGGATCCTTCTAAATTCCATTATTTGTGTTATTGTATGTGATGAATGGACACAAAAACTTCTCCTTTCAAATTGGTCACTACAATAACGAAGAAATTCGTTAATAATTAGACCAAAAAAAAATTCATTTGGAGTGTTAGTAGGGTGGTAGCTCTCACCTACTCCGCGCCCCGTGCCACGCAGGTGTCAATAGTAACTACCATTGCGGCGGTTACTAGTTGCTAATCAAACTTAATAATTTTTCCAATAAAGTCATACTTTATATAAAAGTTTTATGCTTACTTTGGGTATGAGAATAAGTCCCTCCTCATCTAGGGCTTGAAATCTCCTCCCATTCAAACACTACATAGGTTCAATTCTTGGCCAACATTTTCTATACCATTCAATTTTCCAATGGTTGAATTGGACTGTGAATATTGAATCAAATCTATATAAATAGAAATTTTTAAATTTTGATTTTGGATTTGATGGGTATGCATTGATGTTTAATTATTCAAACAGCTTATCTAGTTCTCTTAGTGGAAATTAAAATCTATCATAATGATTTCCTTTAGACCCAAAATAAAATATTGAGCTGGCAAACAAGACCGTCAAGTATGTAGTATATTGTGGTGCACCTGCTTTCGTACCTTGGACTTTGACATATTTATAAATTATAATATTGAACAACAAACTATAATCAAGTTTTATCTCATTAAGTGAAATTTGCGGTATAAATACTAGAATGCCCATGTGCTTGATTTTGCGTCATGTCTTTCGGTAGCCCAAAGTACTCCACATCTTTTCGTAAAGTTTTTTGTCTTCCAAAATCTTCATCTATCCATTTTACCTTGAGACTCCGTCTCTTTCCAAGTCTTCATCTTGACATATATATTCATAAAAAGGACACTAGAAGTTTCATTGTCAAACTTTAAGGTGTGAATTTTTCGGTTTTTTTTTTATATGTTACAAAAATCATATTTATATTTGATCCTAGGTTAAGTTTGGTTTATAATGCATGGATTCTCATGTAGTTTGCATTTTAATGTGTGTCCATGTCGAATGGTGTTGGTTGAGGTTGGTTATATATTTATATTTGATCTTAGGTTAAGTTTGGTTCACAAACGCAAATTATGATGTTGCTATTTCGTTTGTTTAATGCCAAAATATAATTGTTTATGGTAGTTTCAAATTTCCATGTTGTTTTCAGAAAAAATGAAAAAAATTAAAATGTAGCTTTAGGTTAGAGAAACTTCTCCATCATACACTAAACCGAAAATATTTATATGAATTCTAAGCTTTGTAGAACCATGCCAAAAGAAAAAAAAATACACACATTTGGGTTAGGTTTAACTGAAAGGGTTGTGTTATCCACACATTATTTTTTAACCTCTCACACATCTTTCTTTATTTATGGTCATCGGATCTAATAAATTGAAGAAGATCAAATGACAAAAATAAAAAAAAAAAGTGTGTAAAAGATAAAAATGAATGTGTGTGGATAATACCATCATAACTGAAAATGTCAAAAATATAATTAAAGTGCATGACTTATTCTTCAAAGTATTTTTACCGATACAACAAGGAAATAGAAAGTTATTGATGAATATAGTTGAGAGGGAGCTTAATTACATAGAAGGACCGCAATCATGATAGTTCAGTCCCAATAAAGTATTGTCATGTAGAGAAAAAATTGTGCATGTTAATCTTTATATATAAAACTAAGGGTCCAATGAATAATATTTTTTTGGTGCCACAAGCTTCACAAAAAATAAATAGATAAAAATGTCCTTCAAACAAAAAACTTCAAAAACAATCCAAAATAATGCATCAAATTTAGCAGGAATATTTACGTCATTTTAACATTGTTTTTTTTAATAATTAATTTTTTTTGTACAGTTCTTTTTTTAAATTATTAACAGCTCACAATAGGCTAGCAATAATGTGATTCAATCAATTGTTCATTAATTATTATTTTCTCTATTTTTAAACACTTTCAAAACATCTTGAGAGGCGTGCAATAGGGAGAGAGTGGGTTTAGCCTCACAATAGGCTAGTAATAATATGATTCAATCAGTTGTTTGTTAAATATTATTTTCTCTATTCTTAATATAAATTCAATAGAGACTGATTTTATTATGTGGATTCAACTGCTTTAATTGGTTTATTAGAGGTTTCTTCTAGCACAATCTAAGATAGTTTATTTACTTCAAATATTTGACCTTTTGTCAAATTACACATATAAATATATTTAAAATGTATAAGTAGCGTGTGACATACCGTGATTCAAAAAATATCTTATACACACGTGCATAAAGACTAATGTATTATTAGACCGAAAGACTATACAACAGTCAAATCGTTCTATGCAATTTCTTCTACGCAATTAAATATTTAGCGTAAGCTACTGGTAGGAGGTCCTGATTTGTGGGTCTTCATATGTTGTTACTCTTGTCCATTTAATTGGTTCTAGTTTATATATCCCATGCACGACACAATTCTTTATTTGTGTACCGATTAACTTAATTGCACGCCAACTTTCTCGCTGGGAATTCAATATGCCTCAACTAACCGGTTGCATGCATGCATGCATGTCTGGTAACATGTTGACATACGATTGGTGGTGCGCCTATACGAATTTAGATCCTGTTCAGACCTCACCGTCTGGAGTCAAAAGAACAAGAAATGTAAACTGTTGAGAGAGAAAAAGAGAGATTCGAGCTCTTAATTTGTGTAAGGTGGGCTAACAGAATGAGTTATTAGGGACCGTTGAAATTCAATTTGAATAGTTCAAATTTCTTGCTTCTTAGACTTTAGACAGTGAGATTCAGAGATGATATTTGTTCCACCATACCAAGTATCAGAATTCTTGTTTCTTACGTGGCCTTAATCTGCCTCGTAGGAAATTTTATTCAAGGGCTAAGAATGAAAGTAAGGCAGGCACATTGGAGGGAGAGAGAATCTAAGACCCCATTCAACTACCAAAGCCATCCAATTAAAGTGATTTTCCAAATCAAACCTACCACACTCCAAGGTCAAGAGAGCATCTCCACCGGGAGATCTCTTTATCTCTTTTCCTTCATTTTTTTCTCTTCTCTGAACACCTCGAAACTCATTTCGCTCTCATTTTGCCCCTTTAGGCGTCCATTCCGTTAAATTAGTTAGCATTACCTTTGCTTTGTCTCTGTTGATTTCATCATCAATGTTGTGAACTTTTACCAACGCAAATTTTATCAACACTATATAAACATACGTAAGAAAAATAAATATTGTATATATGTATCGCTATGTTTTTTAATATTTAATCATTAATTTGATGTCAGTCAAATTCAAAACTTGCTAGTCTTTGAATGTGACACAATACCAACAATTTCCAAGACGATCGGCCACGGATGTACTGCTATC